CCCCGCGAGAGTTAAAAACCAAAGGAGACCAATTTCGTTGGAAGAAAAACATGAAAATTTATAGCGGCGGTGAGAAACAGGGGAAATGCTAGCTGCCACCAAGGTGAAAATGAGCGGCAGCGAAAAAAATAGTGAACAGGAACACATACAACATTTCCTCCATAAAACGTGTTACTAGGAAGTTTCTGAGTTTCACGTTGTAGTCGTGAAAAACAATGGCATGGAAAAGTGCAAAAAAAGCGTGCAAAGTTGTTTTGTGCTAATTAGACCTACTTCGTTACACGATTTTATATCAGTTTTGTTTTAAGTTTAGCAAACCATAGATATTAACTAGAGCTTCGCTTTTAGCCCTGGCTAAATCTACATATATATTATTTTACTTGAAATAAACTTGTTTTTGTTGTTTGCTGTTGTTAAGGTGATGTTACACGAAACGATTCGCAACGACGATTTTTAGCGCAACACAGAGTTGTAGCATTGTTGCAACATTGTTTCGAATGGGTACAACATTGCTCCAACATTGCAACGCTTTGTTTTGCTAAAAATCGTCGTTGAGAAATCGTCCCGTGTAACATCACCTTTAAAGGCAATAGGTTAGATTAGCAAAACAACAACTTTGCACGTACATCACGCTTTGTACATTTCTTGGCCGTCAATGCGCGACTACAACGTGCGAGTGCCTAATTTCGCGTTCTGTCGAGGACGGGAACACAAGAACACAGCGTTCTTTTTCTTTTCATGGACTTCAGTATTCAACCCCCAAAAAAATTTACCCACATATGACAAATTAAACGAGATGGAATAATATAAAGTTTGAGGCAGCGCGAATTCACTTTTTTATTGGTGTTCCGGTAGTCGTCGCCGTCGTTGTTTCCTAAACTCCCTTTTATCCGTCTGAGACGGATAGTCCATCTTCAAAATCCGTCATAATTGATGGAAGAGCGGATGGATAAAGTCAGGCGGACTGTCTATCCAAATTAAGACCGTTCCATTTTCAAATTAAGACGCATTATCTGTCCGACGCAAATTATACGGCCAATGAGATATTTCAGTCATGCTTTTAGTAGCACATTAACACTTGTTTTTATTTTTCTTAGGCAAGAATATATGATGAATTAGGGTACACTATTGAAAGGAACGCATGTGCCGCGGAGTGCTGCGAACTTCTTCAACGACATCCTACTCACTGCACAAAATCTTCTCTATTTGTTTTGTAAGACCCTGTTTACATGGAGTGGGGGACCCCGGTCTATTGGGGTAGTTTTCTTTTGTTTTGTGTCCCCCAGAGCGTGAAAACAAAAGAAACCAACCCCACTAGACCGGGGTCACCCACTCCATGTAAACAGGCCCTAAGAAAAGCTCTAGGATTTGACGAAGAGAGCGGCTACAAAAAGAACTGAAAAGGGAAGATAATACAAAGCATCTTTAAAGAATGTTTATAGAAGAACACCTTTGATGTGCAGAGATGCGCCGGAGTATTACTCTTGGGAAGGTTAAGATGAAAGGACATTAAGCGCGCGCTACGCACTGGCGACACAAAGTCGTTAAACGGACACAGTCAGCTGATGCACATGCGCATTACATACCACTTCTTGGCTGATTTGCATGTCACAAGACGTGCGTGAAACAGAAAGCATCGATTTTCGCTCTCACGGGAAATTAGATCGTTTTGTCAGTAAAAACAGCTAAGAGTATCAAACTTAGGATATATCTTGCCGTCGACGTCGGAGCTAAGTGTGCAAAAGAATATCCAGATTATCAAACCAAATATGCGCAACTTGGATGAAGGGGGCTCACATCACGAGTTCACGAACAACAATTTTGCGTTTCACGAGTCACGAAACAAACATTTACGTTTCCAGGCTCCTCAAAAATAGAGGTCGTACAAAATATTAAAAACGTTACGTTAGAGCGGTTTTCATTTGAGTGTCGAAAAGTAATTGGTTTTGCACTTTCTACACGATGCGATTGGCTTAAAAGATTCGCGCCACCTTTTCATCCAATCAGAAGTAAAACCAAAGCCAATTGTGACGCGCTCGCATGCATTTTCCCGCGCTTTGCGTCAGCCACATGTAATTACTTCGAGTTTTGATTGGTTCAATGTATTGT